CAGACTGTAGGTGAAAACGATGAAGATATCTATTTATAGAAAAGGTCGAAACGAAAAAATACCAAACGCGAGAAGTTTGAAGATGGCATAAATAGACAATTTCTTTCAGGATGAGTATGGATGTGGTGGAATCTTTTGATATCACTTGAGAGAGAAAGGGATGATTAGAAACGTGATAAAATAAAATCGAAGACAAAGAAGTGAGAACGTATTTATGGAAACTGACCGAGATTTATTCGTGAAAAATTTATTTCACTAATTTTCTTCAATCTATTTCTTCATTGATTCATCTCGAATTTTATCTAGAAAAGGTTTTAACCAATCGATAGTATCTGAAAAAAACATAAAAGTGCGGTTTTAAGATTGACTATGTTTTAAAATTTAAAATTTTGTATTTAAGAAAAAATATTTTTAAAAAGCAAAATTAGCAGTTTTTAGAGCATTCACTTTCCTATCAATAGAGAAGAGAATAATAGTATATTGTCAAAAATTGATATGTTCCATGAAGATTATGGCTGCTTAAACATATCGAATTGAAAAAATTCTGCTGTATGAAGAATAAATTGTTACATGAATACATGTCTCAAACTTTTTCTCATAATTAAAAGAAGAAATATCTAAAACAAATATCATATCATATAAAATGATAAATTATTTAAAAGGTTATTCTTGAAATGAACTAATCCTTCCTAGAACTTATCAATAGAACATTAAATTAGTTTTTATTATTTTCAAACAATCATTTTCAAGTAAATATATCATCTATCTTTTTATACGATTTAAAATGAATAATTATCATGTTTGAATAGAAACTGAACTATTATTATTCAGTTTTTTTTTAAATTTGAAATTTTTTTATTTGATATAGGAAACAAATGTAGATCATTAATCCAGAAATGTTACTATCTGTTAGAATGACTTTTATATTTTGTTTGTCATAAGTTTCACACTTTTTTATTCCAGTACTCTATTATTTTTTATCATAATGCTAAAAATTCTGATCTATCAAGATGTGGGTGTCAATCTTCATTTCGACCACACTCACACCCGTTTTCGACCATTAATACTTTCTAGAATAACGAACAATAAAATTGTCGCAATCGTTATTAGAGATATTAATTTTTGACTTATTTATCGTGAAAAAGAAGAACATACAATATCTGATTCACAATTAAATACAAGAGAACGATCTATGATTGAACTTGGAAAGAAAAACAATATATATTAATTGTGAAAATGTTCTCACATGCTATTATACACGAAGGCTTTTTTTCTTATCTTATGAACTGTAAGAATGAGTTATAAGAACTTCATTAAGGAATTTGAAAATGAGTGTTTATTCTGAATACATATATTTAATTTTAAGAACAGTAGTTGTAAACTATTATGTAAAATTTTTATAGAAACTATGCTAAATATTTTTTCTAGAGTTATATCTTTAATATCTTATCAATGCTTACTCATGTTTTCCGATATTGTCTTGTATATCCACTTATCCAACAATCACTTTCAATAGTTCCTAACAAGTCTATATTATATACATCAGTCATATGTATTTGCACCGCCGGCACTGGTCAAGTTGGTTCATATTTGACATAAAATTTACTTGAAATTCGTCAGACAATACCATCAATAACAGCTGAAAATAAGCATCTAAAAGAATAAAGAAATATTTTATCATATTATTTCTTTATAATTCACTCATTGCACGTAGTCAAAATATTCCAGATGAGATAACATTAGAAAACATTTTTTTTGTACTAAAGATTCTTCATGACGATATTATTGTAATATGACAAATAAAATATTTCGTAATTCACTATAAAAAAAAAACATTTCAAATAAATGAAATTGTTGTGTCATCAAAAATGCAAACCATATTCAACGTTTGACTATGACGACGTCGATTAAAATGGTTCATTATCTGCCTTCGATAATATTTGATATAATAGGGTGTGGGTGTGGATGAAGACAGTATCTATACTCACACCCAAAATAAGAAATAAGAGAATAAATATTCTTACTAATAATGTTGGTTTTGTTGGAAATAATTCTCAATTTTTCTTGGTAATTTCTTTGAATATTCTAACTTTTTTTTCTTGATCACTTTCACACTGCAATTCTCTGATTAATTTTGTTACTTCTTCGAAATAAACGACCAGTATATAACTTCAATCTGGTGTACAAAATCAAAATTTAATTTTTAAATTAAATCTAACTTCCTTTAGCATTGGTACACTCTATATTGAATTCTAGTGTTCATCTGTTACCGATGTTGCTAGTAGAAATATTTCTTTTGATTTCGGTCGAGAATATAAATTTTCTTGCTCTTTCACATGCTGTAGGACAATTAATTACTTTGGCAAGTGCTAAATGATTTCATAATTTACGATAATGATATCGATTATACATTGGTCGATTTAAACTGAATTAATTTGTTCAAATAGAACAAAAAAAAATTAAAGAAAAAAATCACCTAATAACTATTGTATAATAATTCCATTGATTCATTATAATTTTACGTTAATTGTAATACTTCAGTTAATCAAGATAAAATTTCGAGCACGAACATAATCAGATGAAAACAGAAGATTTTAAGTTCTTTAATTAATTTATCTTACAGTTTGAGTTATTCACGAGTTATTTAAAGATATTATTTATATCTAAATAAATTTTTATTAACAAATTTCAATTAACAAAAAAAAAAAATCTTTTTGACAGAAGAGTAAATACATTTTTAATTATTATTCGTTTTAATCTGAATAATAAAAATAATTATTCGAAAATTTTGATTAAATACCAAACTTGTTCAATAATAGATAATCGTGATTTGTTGTTGATGAACGAAGCATTGTTTTATTTTACAAAAATCACATATTTCATCATTATTTAATAAATGAAGATCTGTATCAGGATCATCTAATCATCAAACTTTAAAAAGAAAATCTCATTAAATATTATTTGTAAAATGAAATAAAATTTTTTATTATCTTGTAATAGATCTATTTCTACATGTCGAATTGAATAATTTGCATTATTTGATAGATCAGAGATTTCATAAATTATAGTGGATCATCGAAGTCATTTACAACGATCCATAAGTAAACGAATAAAAATAATTTGAGATGAAACTAAATAAATTATTTATTTTTGAAAGTTTTCAAAGAAAAATGAACGAGATAATATTTGAAATTTATCGAATAAGATTAATTCATTTTCATCAGATAAACATTTGTAATATTTGAGTAATGATGAAACGACTAATGAAAAATTTGTCCAAATAATATTGATTTAATGAAAAACTATTTCCGATATTTCTATTGCTCTTCGTAAAAACTCGAAAAGCGTCCTTCCTATGTTTTCCCTATTATTGTTGACGCTGATAAATTTTAATTGACTTATTTTTTCTTGTCTTTAATTGACATTATTACGTTTCTTACGTAAGAAGCTTCTTATTATGTTCAGTCGAAAGCAGTCATATTGATGACTGTCTTATCAATTTAGTTAAAAAAGCTGGTTAGCGCAGCTCCGTTGGAGCTGAAATGTGGAACTCACATATATCCTTAAATCTTAATATTCTAATTAGACTTCTGCGTGACCATGATTTTTTAGTCACGTCACGGTCACGAGCTGCCTGGTCACGGTCACGTTCATAGTCATGGAGTTTTTTTCGAAACTAGTCACGATCACGTCACGGCCACGAGCTGCCTGGTCACGATCATGGTCATAGTCACGGAAATTTTTCGAAACTAGTCACGGTCACGTCACGGTCACGAAAATTTTGGTTTACTAACTGAATTTTTGTGCTACAAAATCAAGATTTATATTGATTTCGCAGATTTTCTTTGTAATAAAACGCAGAAAACACGTAAATCAATTAAAATCTTGATTTTTTTTCACAAAAATTAGATTTCTAATCTCAAAATTTTTCACCATTAAGTCACGATCACGAGCTATTTGGTCACGGTCACGATCCCAGTCACGACAATTTTTCGAAAACTAGCCACGGTCACGAGAGGCCGTGACCGTGACCGTGACCATTTTGCAGAAGTCTAATTCTAATACATCATATGTAAACTGAAAAATTTCGTGTACACTGTAGTTGTTTTCATCGATAATCAATGAGAAGAGCGAGACTTTGTTATTTATTTCTACATTTAAAACAGAACATTTTTTTTTGTTTGAGAGTGCCCTATTTTTATTTTGTATTGTTGTTATTCGCTCATTATCTTTCTTTTTTTTTAATTCGTTTTTCGTAATTCAACATTCTTATTATTATAATCATTGAATTAATTGGCAAATAAATCTGTTTTACATATTCATGATATCTACAGAAGATCTTACGCACTATTATATATATTAATCAGCTCAAAAACAATGATGTTGATTATCTTTCAAAATTATAACTTGATGAATTTTTCAAAAGAAACTACTTAAGTAGTTTTGATGCATTTTAATCGTGAAACGCCTCTAAACGCATGCAAAATTTGAAATGCGTTCAAAAATTCATATGGTGAACGCATTTCAGTGAGTTTGCAGGCAGTTTCAATTTTGAGACGCGTTTAAATGCATCAAAAAAGCGTTTCATGGTTACATGGGATATTTCATCATTCAACATCAACGGGTGAGTTAATTTTTTTTTCTTTTTCTTTTCTTTGTTGAGCTGAGACTAGTTAGGGTGAGTGAGGTACGCTGAGATTAGGGTTTTGCGTTATAAGAAGGGCTTCCAGGTAGTCCCTAAAAGCCCAGCTAGGAACTGATTTGGTATCCATGGCACACGATCGGGCCCCCAGGCTCACTGATATATGACATCGGATGGGTGCATATGGATGATGTGGGTCTTCCCGCGTGTGCATGAGCATTACGCTCGCCATGGCCTCACCAGGGTGGTTTCTGGTCGCGCGTGCGAGAACAGAATAAAATTGAATGCATTTTTTCATTCAGTCACAATTTGAAAAAAAAAAGAACGAAAGAATAAAAAATAATCATACGAATTGAGTTTATTCGATATTAAATTTTTGTACTCGCTGATTTTCGCAATCGACGACATAGAGATTACCATGTCGATCGAATGATAAACCTGTGGGATAAGGGACTTGATTAGACTGTGATCCTTCACCGTTTCCACTAATAATGACACTTCCTTGTGTGGCTCCTTTTGGCCAACGCATGATTCGATGATTCCAACAATCAGCCACATAGACAGTACCCAATTGATCGACAACGACTCCTTCAGGCTCATTCAATTGTGTAAGACTATTTCCTTCTCCATGGCCACCGGCGACGATAATGCCTTGTGTTGCACCTTCTTCCCATTTCATCACACGATGATTTTCATTATCAGACACATAAACTGAATGATCTAGATCGACAAATACGTAGGTGGGATCAGAGAGTTGATCGAGACGATTTCCTTTTCCATTGCCACCTGCAACCACTGTTCCTTTAGTATCACCAATTTTATATCGTCTCACTTCATGTTTTTCATTGTCAACGACATAGAGAAATCCATTCTCGTCCATTGTCAAACCGATGCAATCGATATTTGAAATAATTGTTTCTCTACGAGTACCATTTCGACGAGACCATCCAACTACTCTTCTATTCCGTTCATCGCTGATGATGAGACTATCGCTCTTTTTGTCGATAATCACATCTCCTGGGCTATTTAATTGATGAGCACCATTCCCATGTCCATTTCCACCAGCAACTACTTTTCCATTCGTTGCACCAGATTTCCATTCCACAATACGGTTATTCCAGCAATCAACGACATAAATCGTTTGTTCATCGTCGACGTACAAACCCCATGGGAGAGAGAGTTGATTGGTTTTACTGCCTTGTCCATTTCCTCCAGCAACAGTGATACCATTCTTTGACCATGTTGCATTTCGATGAATATCAATGAGACTTGCACGCATTGGTACTGAAATGAAAGAGAAAGTATGGAGTAGAAATAAAGATGGATTTCATGTTGCTAAGAAATTCATGAGATATTTGTAATTTAATTGGTACGATCGGAAGAAATATCTAATTTTTTGTAAACATATTTATTGAATGTAATTGTTTTACTTTTGCAATAATTAAAACTTCTGTCTTGCTTTTTATTGTTTAGAGACAAGACTTTCAAACAAAAAAAGAGAATAAAATCTATCGCACTGTTTTAGTTTTAATTTTTGTACTATATTAAAACATTCCATTATCAATCTATATGAAAAAATAATTTCAGAAGATTTAAATTATAAATCAATGAAAATGTAGTTTTATTTCTTATGTTTTATTGATAAAAAAAAAATACGATTTATTGATACTCATAAAAGTGAAAATTTTATTTTCTACTTATAGATGAAAATAAACATAGTCGAAATTATTGATAATACACAAAAAAATAAATATGTGTTTGAAATATAAACAACACAACTGAATTTACTGTTTTATCTGTTAGTCTTTGTTTGACTCAGTGTGAATTTTCAGTCAAAAGAATAATGACGAAATCTTTGCTTAATATGTGCTCAAATTTTATACAACAATCAAAAATAGAATTCGAAATTCATACTGAAAGTCAAACTTGGGAGTACATCCTCTATATTACAATACAATGCAACCATGTCAATAAAATTAAACTTTTAATTTGAATTAAGTTGAATAGTTAGAATTGTAATTCATCTCATTCAGATAAAGCTAGAAGTTATAAATATTAATACAAAAATTCTTTTTCCTGAATGATACTTGCTAGATGAGATATTTTCAATTCCTTTTTACATTCGTACTGTGTAATACAGACAAAGATAGATCCTTTAAAAAAACAGAAACGAATGTAACTTGATGTACAAATTTATGGTAACTTGTAATATTACATAAGAATTCATGATTGTTATACAGAATAATTTTTTATCTACAAGCAATCATATTTTTATCATCATCTTCGTGTCTTCAAAGTATTCAGACATCTGCTTATGCACACAAAGTTCATTTATTTAAAATAGATACGATTTTTTACACTATAAACAAATTGGTTAAAGTCTTTTTACGTAACTATTTCCACACTACTCTAACTTCTGAATTTGTAAATAGGTTTTTTAATTTCATTTACTAATTGATCAATTCTAAGTGAAATCATATTATGTTAGTTCTAGTTTATCATTAGGACAAGTGCCCTTAAAACTCTATAGAGCTATGTATTTGACTCATAAATAAAAATTGTGTATTTCTCTCAGTTTATATCTGAAATTTGATGAAATCGAGTGTATGTTGAAAAATATCTGTTTTTTTTTATCAATCTTGTTTTGAATATTCCATTCGGTTATTAGTGCGGCAATTTTATTTATCAGAAATTGATGTACAATATCAGTAAGAACATTTCTGAAAAGATTATGAAATTAAACAATTAAAGCACTTTATTAAGATGATGGTCTACGTTGTGCATCAGCATGATTCACGCTGAGGCCATTTTAATGTCATTTTTCTGTTACATGTTTTGGCTTTCTAAGTTTTACATATTTTGATAAAGTAATAAAACTTGTAATTATATAATGACTATTCGTAGGAAAACAATGATTTTTTCTACTTATTAAACATGTTTTCATCTGTCCCATAGTATTTATATAAATGTAGAGAACTGAACAGGATATATACTTCGTCACAAATATAGAAAAAATTTTTTTACTTGAGGTCATTTTATAGCACGTATCAGTGCTTTAAAACAAACTTATAGTTCTGTGATATGTACAATTCAATAGCGAATTAAATCAGCAAAAGAAATACACATAACCTTATTGATTTATTTTTTGTAAATCCATATATCTTTGAGACTTAGAATATAATCTTTGAAAACTTTCTAGGAAATAAACATAAGAAAGATATTCATGTACGCATGAAAATGACTCGCTTTTTTTTCAATGATATTCATCCATTCATAGAAATAATGCATTACGTGCATTCTACTTTCATGTTATACTTATTAACTTAAGGAAATATTTAACTATCTAAGTTTTCAATGTTATAATGTCTCGCATAATATATTTTGTTATGTTAATGCTCTAACTCTTGTTATTATGCATTTCTCATTGTAAACAAGAAAGCCTATCTGACTTTGTTGCAGAAAAGACCAAAATATTTTCCATAATTCTGAGAATTGAAACGGAGAAAATTACTGAGATAGAATGTACTAGTAATCCAGACAAATAAATATAACTGAGAAGCTAATAAAATCAAATGCATCCAAATTTAGATGAATTCTTCTAGAAAATTCTATAGATTTCGTATCATATATCTGAAGTTGGACATTCATAGAAAGAATATGTATATATATATATCTATCATAGGTACTATCATAAAAATGTTATTTTTCTAGTTATTTCCTCGTGGATTCTAATGTTAAAGTAGTTTGCATTATGATGTTGCATATATGCCTATGTTTAGATAGTAAATAGCTTTTTCCCTAGTAATATTGTACTCATTCAACGAAGTTATCAACTAAGTACAATGAATTTTCTTTCTTTTAAAATATTACGATTTCTCGCTCATTACAGTCAATGCAAAATAATGTACTCTTACATAAATCAATAGATTCTATTTAGTTCAATAAATTTCGTCATTTGGAAAATAATCACAGAAAACAAACATAGTCAATTTTCTGTTATATTCTGTGTTTCTTTCGACTTAAGCGTATGCATAGCCTTTCTTGCATGATCAAATAAAAAGCAACCATTGTTGTGTATTTATATATTTTGTGAATGAATGAGAGAATTCTTTGTGCTCTCATTATTCCATGTACGCGATGTCAAACTTGAAATTTGAAAACTCAGTTGAATTCAAATTTCAAGGTTGATACTTCCATTTTTCTTCATAAAATGATAACCAAAGCGATAGCTATCATATAGTTAACATGATGTTTTTTCAGATAATATGTATCAAAACAAAATAATATATCTAGAAAATGAAAGTGCGATTTTTACATTGAAAAATCTTAAAATTCAATTTAACGAAAAATCAAATAATCTCTTTTATTCAACCTACTCCCGTCATGTGTAGGCTTTTATAAGAATGCCAATGTAATCTTAGAAAGAATCAATATTTGAATTCAGATAGTGAAAATCCTCGTATCCAACAAAAATCATAAGTTTTTGATTAGGTTCTAAGCAAGAGCTAATCGTTTATTCATATATTAATGAAAGAATCATCGGAATCGAAGTAAAAACCAATGAGAACCTTTAACTTTAGTGTCAAAGCTGAAACTCACTAACATTATACATTTTATTATTTAAAAATGTTTCAATCAATAGGAAACTTGAATTGTATAGATTAGACATACACTGATCGATGAAATTTTGTTGAAAATATCTCGATTTATACATGTAATTCGTGTGAATATTCTTACAATGAGCATTAATCGCATTTTTTATATGCGACCCAATTTTTGTTTCAATTATATAAGAAATCTATGAATTAGTGACTATTCAACTAAAATCATTGATAATTTACTTAATTTGATTTGAGAATAAATGTATTCCTCATTCTTTTTGGTTATATGTTGGATAATCAAAGCCTGTCATAAACCAAGCAATTGACGATATATTTCGTGCTACATTCAACAGTCTAATTGAATTCGTGAAAAAGGCTAGTTGTTTTTGGAGATTAGGAAAAAAAATATTTTCAATACATTTCAACTTTGTAAGATCTCCAAAAATGATCTATTTTGAAAGTACGAGAATTCATTGAATTCGATTTGAAAAATGTTTTCAATGAGTGCGAAGTGACTTTCTACCACTGTACACCTTGCCTAAAGCTCAAGTGAAATTAACACACTATTTTGAGAAATAGTATCTTTTTTATTCAAACTATGTGAAACAACTTTTAATTTGTCGGGAAACAATATATGTTTTGTTTATCTTTTTATTTTTATACTCGAGAATAGTTTTCATTTACGAAACTTTCATTTTTCTTTTGTGAGATAAAGCATTACATTTAGGGTGTAGCATAAAAGAAGACCAACACCCACACCTACACACTCTTTTATTAAAAAATTTAAGAAAATCGCACTACATCTATTTCGTTCGTTTTGAATTTCTAACAAAAAATAAGAGATATCGTCAGCGGCACGATTGAATGATAAACTATTTAATAAAACAGCTAAACTCCCCCCCAGAATAGAAGGCCACCCCCATTAGAAGGCCACCCCTGAGTCATATTTGCAAAAGTCACATTAGAAGGCCATGGCTTTCTAATGAATTGTTTGGATATTACATAAATATTCTGTGCTAGTTTTATAAATATCTTAGCATTTTGAGAGATCATGTATGATCTCCACCGCACTCCTGTTTGGTTTTGCTATAAATTTAAAGAGGTATGTTCAATTTCCAAAAGCTGTCAAAACAAAACAAAGTTTAATATGCCTATTTGATCGCTTCAATTCTTTTGCTTTGGTACGATTACATATCTTTTGAATACATATAAAAACTTTTTTGTTCTTTGAAGTATTTGTGGTGCCAGACATCGGATAGGTATACTAATATTTGTTGATTAAATATAATACCTATGTAGCCGATAATGGATGAATAATGGAAAATGATCCATTATTTTCCATTATTTGAAGAAAAACATGAATTAATGCATTATAATTAATTATTTTTTGACTTTTCAATGCATTTCAATGCATTATTTCTAATAATGCTGAAAATGAAGGATAATGCCTAAATTTTCAATGCATTGTAATGCATTATTATAAAAAAAAATGCATTATGATGCGTTGATAAATCAATGTATTGCAATGGATTAATTAAAAATAATGCATTATAATGCATGAAATAGGTTGCATTATCATGTAATTGCATCCATTGCATTTCTATTGTAAAATAATGCATTGCAATGCCCATTATTTCATAAAATCGGCTACATGGGTAGCATTAGCTCAAAAAGTCTA